TTATCATGGACCTACAATTACAAATCATGATCCAGTTTTCATGTTTTACAATTATTTGTGAAAGTTTCCTTGTTGGATTGATTGTTGAAAATGTCTAGCATAAATTGAATGCTTTCTGGCTTCATTGAATTCATAACCAATCGACCATTCAATATTTCAAGCATTATGGTCAACCCTCCACTTTTCCTAAGGACACAACATTGTTTCATGAAAGAAACGGGGACTTATGGATTGACCTCTGTGCGTGCATCTGTCTACACCTGCATCTTAGACATACATCATACATAATATTATACATATTCATATCAATTTGTTTCACAATCAGATTCAAGATGGCTGAATAGAGGCCATTTTTGTGCAGAAAAATCATCAAAATCAAGCATTTCTGGCATTCCGGAACAGAATCTTGGATGTTTACAGATGGATTTTGTTGAAACTTGGTGCATACCGGTACATTGTACATATTGCACCTTCATGCACATCATTTTGTTTTTTAGATAAAATTCAAAATGGCCGACATGCGATTATTTTGTTGCAGTTCTATTGCCATATCTCTGACATGCTTTGGCTAATTATGTTCAAATTTTATATATTCATTATACATCATGTCATAGATATACAGATGTATATGCTAAAAAATCATGAAAAAAAAATCAACTATTTCTGGCATTCCAGAACAAGACGGACTTCATTTAATATCATGGGTCCCTGATGCACTTCATTTTGTTTTTCAGATCGAATTCAAAATGGCTGACTGGTGGCCATTTTGTTTTAAATAGTGTGGTTCATTGACTGATTGTGTTCAAATTTTATATATTCATTATACATCATGTCAGAGATATACAGATATATTGGTTTGACTATCCGGTTCAAAATGACCGCCCGGTGGCCATTTTGTTTCAATTAATGGTGTTCGTTTGACAAGATTACTAAATGTCAGTCATTTTAATGTTAAAATCAGCTTAAGCATCAGCTTCTGGATCCATATCTCATGAACATGATTATGTTCAAACTATTACTATAAACAAAACTACCCGGTATATATTTTAAATTTGTTAACTAATGGAGACTGTTCCATGCATGGCTTGTTTTTTATATTTTGCAAATGCATTAATTATTGTCATCCAAGGTCATATGTAAATCCATGTGATAGAACTTCATGTGGCATACAGGGTTGATACAAGGGGGAGGGAGTAAAACATGACCCATTCAATTAGAAATTATAATGAGATTATGCGCCTTGAACTATTTTTAAAAAGAGGGTGATACCTATTTGTATTTATACAACAGTTTCAGTAGTTTGTCCTATGCTAATACATTGGCGATAGATTATGTTCTTGCACAAAAAATAATGCATGCCCACGTTCACGAAAATTATTTATCACGATGACTTTCATTACTTTTTTGCATTGTTCGATGACTGCTAATGGATGCTTGTGAACTCGCAGTCGTCCTTTAGACAAGACTTACACATTTGTAGTAACCAACAATTTGGAAGTCAGATAAACTACTTATCTCAGAGATTATGTTAATGTAGATTAGTACATTTTTCTTAGTTTCTTTAGAACTGATTTTTATTTTGTTAACAGAATTACAGTAAACACAAGCAAACTTAAGCCATTCAACTGTCCGAACCGAGAGGAGTTCATAGTAAGTACAATCATTATACCTTTAAGTAATGAATTTGATTACTACAGTCCTGTCTTACAGAAGATGGCTGAGCAAATCTATTCATAATACTTTTTCTTCTTGTGTGGACATGTACATGTTCTGTTTTTTTTTAGTCCCCGTTCGGACGAAGTCCGAAAACGGGGACTTATAATTCGGTCTCCGTCCGTCCGTGTGTCCGTGCATCCGTCCGGAGTCATATCTCAGAATCCCTTGGACCGATTCCGTTCATTCTTTGCATGTGCCTAGTACTTTATGTGGGACATATGCACATGCAGTGGTTTAGCGATTCGATTTAAAATGGCCGACTGGCAGCCATCTTGTTTTTTGAAAATGTTGTATTTTGGACATGCTTTGTCAGTTGTCATTCAAACTTGGTACATACATGTACTTTATACATGTTAGGATGCATGTCCCCGACCGTCTGTGAGTTCCTGAGTCTGTCCGTCCGTCCGACCGTCCGTGTGTCCATCTGTCTGTGCGTCAGTCTATCCAACGTCATATTTCAGAATCCTGTT